GCAGTAATACACTTAAATTGATTTATTATTCCTGTAGTAAATATCTCAAAGCTGACCATTATCATCACCATCATCACAATGATCATTTCAATTGGACCTGATAGAATAGTTATAGTGACGAAGCTATACTACAGATGCAATACGTGCAAAGATAAAGATACCATTCACCAGTTTAGTACTAGAAAAAATCATAGAGTATTAAAATAAAAGCAGTAATTTAGGGTAATTAGGAACACTAATCCCAAATAGCGAAGTTAGATTTTAGTGCTATTGATTCATTTAAAAGTTGAATGGAAAATGATACTTGATGTTCCATAAAGTATCATTTTGTTAAAAGGCGGGAGGATGTAATGACCCTGCTTTGCATGGTCCTCACGATTACATAGTGGCAAGCAGAAAGTCCGTGCAACAAGGGACAGCACGAGATACTTGTGCCTAGTCGAGGAAGCGAGGGAAAGCCCGAGCTAGCCTCGTGGTCAGTCGATCATCAGAAGTCAGGAGACGGTTGTAGTATTTGAAGATGTCGTCTTATGTTGCGCAAATGTTTAAAGTTCGAATATGTCGCGAGTGATAAAGTGTGAATAATGTTGAGCATGTGAAATAAACTGACAGAATGTACCAAGAAGCTGAGCGGCGTTTGTGTTGTCAACTCTAGAGGTTAAAGTTGGTGTAAATCAAGGTACATGTCAGGTCTACGTCAAGGTTCATTCCAAGTGTAGCATCGACTCATTCCAAGCAGACCACGCTTCATTTCAAGTAGACCAAGATTTATTACATATATATATATATATAATACATATATAACAAACTTCTAAGAGTGAATGACAGCTGTCTTTGATACCACAGCGAAACGGTATCTATGAGAAAAAGGTCTGCCTGAGAAAGTTTTTCCTACAATGGACAATGCGCTAGAACATCCGGCAAAGTTGAAAGGAAATTCGGATGGTCTATAATTTCATGAACAATGGGTTCTTTTCTCCTGATACCTCATCGGTCCTACAACCAGTCGATCAACAATTCTTTCCCTTGTGGGATGCAATTTTTCGTTTTTTGAAGCTCCACCTTGGCTTTTGCCGGGGGCACTGAATATAGCTGGGCCACAATTATGGCCATAACGGCTAAAAGGTGTTTCTGGACCTTTCCACATGTGATCCTTATCCGCATAGTGGCACTTTGTGTCACCAGGTGTTTATCGCTTGTGTGATGTCCTGGTGGAGTACAATAAGCAAGCAAGCAAGCAAAAATGCTTCATGCTAAAGCTCTTCTTGAAAGATATTTCAAAGTTACAACCGTCAGAGAGTTCATCTTCAGGGAAATCTGGAGGTATCAGTTCAATGTTCTACATAGTTGGCGTCTTATTGGTCAGTCATATGAAGACGTTTAAGTGAATACTTGTGGAATAAATTATGGCCTGACTGTTACCGAGGAATTGCATTTGAATGACCTGAAAGCGAAATTGACAGTGTTGATGCAGTTGTCTCCCTGCGCAGGAACATGCATTTGGATGTCGATGAAGCTGACACAGAGGAGCTGGTAGAGAAGCATACAATTGAGCTGACAACGGGAGAGCTACAAGAATTAAGAGCAGAACAGGAAAAAATAAGGAGGAAAAGCAACGTCTTAATAGAAATAAGGCAGCAAAGAAAAAAAAAAAAAAAAAACGAAAATAACGTAACAATCCTAATAAGTGACATGAAAAAACTTGCATCTCTGAGGGGAATTAGAAGAAGTAAAAGCTGTTGTTTCCAAAGCCGCCTATGTCTTCATTGACAATGTCATTAATTATTTTATAAAGTTCCGAAGGAAACGCCAGACACAAGTAACGTGAAACGGGTTTTTAAAACTCTCTTCGCCAAAGAAATAGAAGGAAGCCATTGATGATAGCAGATGTCAGGATTTTATTTTGTTTACGGTTTAATGGAAGGTGATCTCCGCAGCTCATACATATACATCATGTAAACCCAAAGACTTTATTAAGAAAATTTGTAATGGTATACAAAATGCATATTTATTGCCTTAAAATGTTTTTTTTTTTTTTTTAACTGTATAATTATTTGTTGTTTGGTCTTTTCCTAATTTGAGTGAGCGTAGTTCTCTTTCATTTCTTGATTTCAAAAGAATAGTTTATAATCTGAGAAAGGATGAACTGATTTCACGTAAGATGTAATGGGAAACTGGGTTTCAAGTAACGAACCTTTCCAGATTTGAATCACAACCAGGAACGAATTAAATTCGTTTATTTAGGTTCTTAGTCGAGCAATCACTGTATTATTAAAATCTAACTGTTCGCTATGGTTTGGGTGTCTCCTGACTCCTTCGATTATTTGGACATCTTCGACTAGTCTAGTGATACAGGATGCCAGGTTCCCAGGCTATTCTTGAACTTTATGGTGTCTTGGTAACTTATGATATACGGTGGATTGCAAACAATAACGCAATAGCTTTAAATTAATATTATAACATTTTGGTTCTCGTCTGTAATTATCACAGATAAGCTAACTGAAACTTTCTAGTTCTCGTCTGTAATTATCACAGACAAGCTGACTCTAAAACTTTCTAGTTCTCGTCTGTAATTATCACAGACAAGCTGACTGAAACTTTCTAGTTCTCGTCTGTAATTATCACAGATAAGCTAACTGAAACGTTCTAGTTCTCGTCTGTAATTATTACAGATAAGCTACCTGAAACTTTCTAGTTCTCGTCTGTAATTATCACAGATAAGCTAACTGAAACTTTCTAGTTCTCGTCTGTAATTATCACAGACAAGCTGACTCTAAAACTTTCTAGTTCTCGTCTGTAATTATCACAGACAAGCTGACTGAAACTTTCTAGTTCTCGTCTGTAATTATCACAGACAAGCTGATTCTGAAACTTTCTAGTTCTCGTCTGTAATTGTCACAGACAAGCTGACTCTAAAACTTTCTAGTTCTCGTTTGTAATTATCACAGACAAGCTGACTGTAAAACTTTCTAGTTCTCGTTTGTAATTATCACAGACAAGCTGACTCTGAAACTTTCTAGTTCTCGTCTGTAATTATCACAGACAAGCTGACTCTAAAACTTTTTAGTTCTCGTTTGTAATTATCACAGACAAGCTGACTCTGAAACTTTCTAGTTCTCGTCTGTAATTGTCACAGACAAGCTGACTCTGAAACTTTCTAGTTCTCGTCTGTAATTGTCACAGACAAGCTGACTCTAAAACTTTCTAGTTCTCGTCTGTAATTATCACAGACAAGCTGACTCTGAAACTTTCTAGTTCTCGTCTGTAATTATCACAGACAAGCTGACTCTGAAACTTTCTAGTTCTCGTCTGTATTTATCACAGATAAGCTAACTGAAACTTTCTAGTTCTCGTCTGTAATTATCACAGACAAGCTGACTCTGGAACTTTCTAGTTCTCGTCTGTAATTATCACAGACAAGCTGACTCTGAAACTTTCTAGTTCTCGTCTGTAATTATCACAGACAAGCTGACCCTAAAACATTTTAGTTCTCGTTTGTAATTATTACAGACAAGCTGACTCTGAAACTTTATAGTTCTCGTCTGTAATTATCACAGACAAGCTGACTCTGAAACTTTCTAGTTCTCGTCTGTAATTATCACAGACAAGCTGACTCTAAAACTTTCTAGTTCTCGTCTGTAATTATCACAGACAAGCTGACTCTAAAACTTTCTAGTTCTCGTCTGTAATTATCAAAGACAAGCTGACTCTAAAACTTTTTAGTTCTCGTTTGTAATTATTACAGACAAGCTGACTCTGAAACTTTCTAGTTCTCGTCTGTAATTATCACAGACAAGCTGACTCTGAAACTTTCTAGTTCTCGTCTGTAATTGTCACAGACAAGCTGACTCTGAAACTTTCTAGTTCTCGTCTGTAATTATCACAGACAAGCTAACTGAAACTTTCTAGTTCTCGTCTGTAATTATCCCAGACAAGCTGACTCTGAAACTTTCTAGTTCTCGTCTGTAATTATTCCAGACAAGCTGACGCTGAAACTTTCTAGTTCTCGTCTGTAATTATCACAGACAAGCTGACTCTGAAACTTTCTAGTTCTCGTTTGTAATTATCACAGACAAGCTGACTCTGAAATTTTCTAGTTCTCGTTTGTAATTGTCACAGACAAGCTGACTCTGAAACTGTCTAGTTCTCGTCTGTAATTGTCATAGACGAGCTGACTCTGAAACTTTCTAGTTCTCGTCCGTTATTATCACAGACCAGCTGACTCTGAAACTTTCTAGTTCTCGTCTGTAATTATCATAGACGAGCTGACTCTGAAACTTTCTAATTCTCGTCCGTAATTATCACAGACAAACTGACTTTAAATTTGGCGTCTTCGTCTCCGTGGTCTATTACGTCATCTCAACCAGCGGGACTATCATATGTATCTTCATCTCTTCTTTACATCATCTCTTAGCTGTTCTCGTGTCGAGAGAGATATTAGGTTCTGCTTCTTGAGTTTCTGGTCGCTTCGACACGCCGAGCTTTTGCAGAGTTTGATGTTATCTGTGCAAATGTTTTATGTGTATGGCATCTCTATACTACATCTTCTTGAACTAAGAAAAACAGCAACAGTAAAAGAAGGTTTGTGACCAAATTTTTCTATGACTGTTTTCGAACATAATTTTACAAGGACTTCAGGGCTTTGAAATGACTCGTAGGAGAGAGGGAAAAAGAGCAAGCAGATAAATACCTGGATGGCTAGTCATCCGTTTAGGGTGAGACAAACACACAGACATGATTCGTCTTTCTTGTGATTGTCTGAGATATTGAAGCAAGGCAGTCTTAGTTTTTCGTCATGGCATATGCTGATGGTAATTTCTTATGACATGGAAGGGTATCAGCACACGAATTGACACCTCCCGTTGAAGATCGCAAGATCTGAAAGAACATGATAGCCCACGCCAGCTGACAAGGCCTTGATGATTGTGACGATAATGATGATAATGATGATAATGATGATAATGATGATGATGATGGCAATGAAAAAAAGTTGTACTTACCGGACATAAAGTTATAGATAATGGGGTTGGTGCAACTGTTGGTGTAGACAAGTAGCTGGGTGATAAGGGTGATGGCCGGCACTGACTCGTTGATGGACTCCAGGTTGACATTTGTAGAATGCCTGTTTTTAGTATGAGAGAAAAAAAAATGTGACATGTAAAAGTTTGTGGTTCTGTTGTTCTTCCCAATTTCCACCTTGTACCACAATAAAGTGTCGGGGGAAGTTGTAACGTTCGTTGATGAGCACTGTCAACAGCAGTATGAAGACTGATGTTCATTTCTGTAAGGCTGTTCAAAATGCCATCACGCCATATTTTCCGAGGGTCTTCCACTCGCTCTACACCCGTTGTAACGTTTCAGTGTCGCTCGCTGTGGCAGACAGTACCAGAGCGTTGTTGCTAGTGTCCAAACCACTTTATTTGCCGTTCCGCTGTGAGTTTACATAATTAGAACGCAGTCATATATTGCACAATATATATGGTGTATGTTTAACGACTGTAGTCTTTTTGAAATCACTTATTTGCGCACAGCAATTAAATTTGCATATTGCGTCATCTTCTTTGTCTTCTTCTTCTTCTTCTTCTTCTTCTTCTTCTTCTTCTTCTTCTTCTTCTTCTTCTTCTTCTTCTTCTTCTTCTTCTTCTTCTTCTTCTTCTTCTTCTTCTTCTTCTTCTTCTTCTTCTTCTTCTGCTTCTTCTTCTTCTTCTTCTTCTTCTTCTTCTTCTTCTTCTTCTTCTTCTTCTTCTTCTTCTTCTTCTGCTTCTTCTGCTTCTTCTTCTTCTTCTTCTTCTTCGTTTTCTTCTTCTTCTTCTTCTTCTTCTTCTTCTTCTTCTTCTTCTTCTTCTTTCTTCTTCTTCTTCTTCTTCTGCTTCTTCTTCTTCTTCTTCTTCTTCTTCTTCTTCTTCTTCTTCTTCTTCTTCTTCTTCTTCTTCTTCTTCTTCTTCTTCTTCTTCTTCTTCTTCTTCTTCTTCTTCTTCTTCTTCTTCTTCTTCTTCTTCTTCTTCTTCTTCTGCTTCTTCTGCTTCTTCTTCTTCTTCTTCTTCTTCTTCTTCTTCTTCTTCTTCTTCTTCTTCTTCTTCTTCTTCTTCTTCTTCTTCTTCTTCTTCTTCTTCTTCTTCTTCTTCTTCTGCTTCTTCTGCTTCTTCTTCTTCTTCTTCTTCTTCTTCTTCTTCTTCTTCTTCTTCTTCTTCTTCTTCTTCTTCTTCTGCTTCTTCTGCTTCTTCTTCTTCTTCTTCTTCTTCTTCTTCTTCTTCTTCTTCTTCTTCTTCTTCTGCTTCGTCTGCTTCTTCTTCTTCTTCTTCTTCGTTTTCTTCTTCTTCTTCGTGCGGGTTATTTCTAAATCGAAGTACATATGTCTGAGAATGAGAAGCAAGCAACCATTAGTCTGCATACAAATAAGTCAGATCATTAAAAAAAAAACCGGATTTCAGAAAACGGAAAGGTTCTAGAAGAAGTATAAAATCCAGAGTTGGATGAATAACCGGAACTTTTCGCCGGAGTTTACAGACAGTGAACGCGAAGAAGAAGAAGAAGACCTAATAACCTGTAGCTCATTGTGAGAAAGGGTGAGTTTTAATTGTGTTGCACTTGGAGATGCGATGCAGAAGAGGATGATCGTGTCATTTTTGCCGGTTTTAATATTCAAGTTTTTATATTTGAGCTCCCATGTTACGTCATCGATCCTCTTCATGGCATCCCTGATATTACAACATTTTTGTTGATTAGTTTCTAGTGCCGAACAAAGACCATTTAAAAGATGGAGTGACCGTATTAAGGACAACCTTAAAGAAATACACATCAGCTTAGACAAAGGATGGGAAAAGGGCATGAAAGAGATTCTTATATATTTCTAAACATTTCGATGAGGTAAATGGAGGAGCGGGAGAAAAAGAGAAAATTTGGTTGGTGCCAAGATCTGGCACTGCGAAAAATTAGCGGGGAAAAAACATTGTGTTGGGCAATGTAGTTTTTCTTTACAGCGTCGCATAATTGTTCTGTGCTATTGGTCTTCAGATACAATAGTGTTGCAGAAATAAAGGGAGACAAGAGAAACAAGAAGAACATAATTGAAGACCGAAGTGAATTCAATTGGCAGGCCACAATGTGTGCTCCATGTGACAGCAAAGAATAGGACCACTTAGTTTCAGTTAACTGAAGGTCAATGCTTCATTATGGGAACTAACTGCACAACAATGACAACATAATTTTAAATAATGAGACATCAAAGACAGAAACAAGGGTATTGTGTGTATATATATATATATGTATATATATATATATATATATATATATATATATATATATATATATACATAAACACACACACACACACATGCACCCACGCACGCACACACAGAGCGAGAGCATAATAATTTTATTTTCAAAGTACCATACACTAGGCACGCAGGCCCGTCACACATTCGGCTATTCCAAACAGCGATCTTTCTCACAGCAATTGTATTTTGTCTGTAAAGCATGTTGTGCTCATATACCAATATGAATTTGAGGTAAAATACACAAAGGCATGGATGCTTAATGCATAAATACACACACAGCACACGCATACATACACACACACATACATACATACATACATACATACATACATACATACATACATACATACATACATACATACATACATACATACATACATACATACATACATACATACATACATACATACATACATACATACATACATACATACATACATACATACATACATACATACATACATACATACATACATACATACATACATACATACATACATACATACATACATACATACATACATACATACATACATACATACATACATACATACATACATACATACATACATACATACATACATACATACATACATACATACATACATACATACATACATACATACATACATACATACATACATACATACATACATACATACATACATACATACATACATACATACATACATACATACATACATACATACATACATACATACATACATACATACATACATACATACATACATACATACATACATACATACATACATACATACATACATACATACATACATACATACATACATACATACATACATACATACATACATACATACATACATACATACATACATACATACATACATACATACATACATACATACATACATACATACATACATACATACATACATACATACATACATACATACATACATACATACATACATACATACATACATACATACATACATACATACATACATACATACATACATACATACATACATACATACATACATACATACATACATACATACATACATACATACATACATACATACATACATACATACATACATACATACATACATACATACATACATACATACATACATACATACATACATACACACACACACACACACACACACACACACACACACACACACACACACACACACACACACACACACACACACACATACATACATACATACATACATACATACATACATACATACATACATACATACATACATACATACATACATACATACATACATACATACATACATACATACATACATACATACATACATACATACATACATACATACATACATACATACATACATACATACATACATACATACATACATACATTCATACATACATACATACATACATACATACATACATACATACATACATACATACATACATACATACATACATGCATACATGCATGCATGCATGCATGCATGCATGCATGCATGCATGCATGCATGCATGCATACATACATACATACATACATACATACATACATACATACATACATACATACATACATACATACATACATACATACATACATACATACATACATACATACATACATACATACATACATACCGCGGCCATCTTTAGCTATAAATAGGCCAACTGGGTCAACGGGGATTCCCGTTCTTGTGCAAGAATTGAGTCCCTCTGTGTTAACAGTTTTTATCGAGGAGATGTATACACAAATTAAACCACAGTTTCATTAATTTTCTACATATTTTACAGAACTTTACGTCATTTTTAAGGTAAATAAGTGTGCCAAATAAATATAACAATAAAGGCTCTTACAGACAAACAAAAATGCTTTTGCTACAGTCAACATGAACATAAACATCAATAACGTTTAGATGAAAACTAAAAGTTGTTCCAGCAAAAGTAAAGAAATATCAGTGCTAACTCTTTGATTCTGAGAGGGTTTTCTTGCATCAGAGGAGCCGGGGGGGGGGAGGGGGGGGTGACATTTGTACTTAATCAAATTTAGCGCATACAAATACTGCTATGAAAGATACACATATCATACATAACATAAATATAAATAATTGATGGTTATTATTATTATTAGTAGACTACTACAACATATAATTATACTATTATTTAATAATTAGTAAACAAGCACAATCAGTATGAAATTGATATGTGCAATACTTTTTTCACCCAGAGTAGTTTTCTTAACAGTACTTATAGCACTACTATATATGTATCCCCAAGGTACAAACAGTACAAACAAATTTGTCCAGTTTCATATTGTTGGATGAAATCAATTCCTTACCATTGCGAATTTTTTGGTAAATATGCATAGGAAGTGGATGAACAACCAGAAGTTTCCACAAGAGTTTACAGCCAGTGTTCGCAAAGCAAAGCAAAAGCCAGTTTACAAAAATTAACACAGACCGTAGAACTGCAAATATGCAAAAGAAGTCGATAAACTACCAGAAGTTTCCACAAGAGTTTACAGCCAGTGTTCGTGAAGCAAATGCCAGTTTACAAAAATTAACAGACCGTAGAACTGCAAATATGCAAAAGAAGTCGATGAACTACCAGAAGTTTCTGCAAGAGTTTACAGCCAGTGTTCGCGAAGCAAAGCAAAAGCCAGTTTACAAAAATTAACACAGACCGTAGAACTGCAAATATGCAAAAGAAGTGGATGAACTACCAGAAGTTTCCGCAAGAGTTTACAGCCAGTGTTCGCGAAGCAAAGCAAAAGCCAGTTTACAAAAATTAACAGATGCAAAAGAAGTGGATGAACTACCAGAAGTTTCCGCAAGAGTTTACAGCCAGTGTTCGCGAAGCAAAGCAAAAGCCAGTTTACAAAAATTAACAGACCGTAGAACTGCAAATATGCAAAAGAAGTCGATGAACTACCAGAAGTTTCCGCAAGAGTTTACAGCCAGTGTTCGCGAAGCAAAGCAAAAGCCAGTTTACAAAAATTAACAGACCGTAGAACTGCAAATATGCAAAAGAAGTGGATGAACTACCAGAAGTTTCCGCAAGGGTTTACAGCCAGTGTTCGCGAAGCAAAGCAAAAGCCAGTTTACAAAAATTAACAGACCGTAGAACTGCAAATATGCAAAAGAAGTCGATGAACTACCAGAAGTTTCCGCAAGAGTTTACAGCCAGAGTTCGCGAAGCATAAGTCAAATGGTTAAGGATTAATATTATTAGTGTACTGCTACAACATATAATTATACTGTTAGTCAACAATTAGTAAAGAGGCAAAGAGTGACTTGCTGTCAGAGGTTAGTTAGTAAATTAAATATTATTTTCATCCACTTACCTAGAGCTCCGAAATATCTTGACACAATTTATCCACAGTGTGGTTGCACCATTTATGCATAGTCAATATGGAAGCAATAGTTTGCTTCAAACACAAGATAGTTTGCACCTGACAACTGTCGATATTCTCCAGATATGGCTTCTAAATTAACTTTTTAAAGTATTTTCCCTAAAAGTAAGTTTATACATTCAAAGTAGAAAAAGAATAAACAGCCAGTTCCCAAAAATCCAAACTACTGACTAGAAACAGTGACACACACATCGCAACACGAGCGTCTACCGTGAATTTAAATTCAAATTGCTGTAATCTAACAGCAAAGTTTGAAAATCTTGTATATCTACTTCAGAATATCCACTTGTAGATATGTAATACGAATTCATTCAGAACACAGAACTTTGCAAGCACATTAAAATGTCACACAATGCAACACATGGAAAGGGCTTACACTAACCAGTTTTCGAGTGACTCCATCCAAAAAGTCTGTGATTTAGTTAGATGGCGTAATCTAGAGTTGGCGGTGATACATACATACATACAGACAGACATACAGACAGACAGACAGACAGACAGACAGACATACAGACAGACGACATATATACAAACATACGTACATACATACATACATACATACATACATACATACATACATACATACATACATACATACATACATACATACATACATACATACATACATACATACATACATACATACATACATACATACATACATACATACATACATACATACATACATACATACATACATACATACATACATACATACATACATACATACATACATACATACATACATACATACATACATACATACATACATACATACATACATACATACATACATACATACATACATACATACATACATACATACATACATACATACATACATACATACATACATACATACATACATACATACATACATACGTACACACATAAATACATAATACATACATACATAATACATACATAATACATACATACCTACATATATACATACAATACAACATAAGAGAGAGAGAGAAAGAGAGAAAGGCAAATGCGTCAGAACTGGCTGGAAATACAGGTTGTATCCTCTACTACATATTTATAACGTGAACAGACATTGTTTTGCCTCTGATATGTGTGCAACTTTTTTTGCGTTTCTTTCATTCAGACGAAAATTGTAGTTTTCATATCGAAAGAAATGTGGAACTGGAAACACAATTTTATTCCCGATGGGCCTGACACAGACAAACCCCGGAATTTCTTGTTTAGCCTATATTATTTATTTTTATAAAGGCAATGTAAGTGGCTGATTGAGCGCAAAAAAAAGGTCATTATCAGCATGTACATTTAAGTTTAGCACAGCTGGTCTAGTCTCCATGAACTACGCATGTTTGTGAGTAACGATCTGCTCAAGAGTCTGGCACGCGAGATACACCGGATGTATGAAAGATCTTGTCAGCTGACATAGAACTGGCATCATTAGTGCCGCTACACTGATGTTTATCTTGAAAAGAGTAAAAAAGGGGGAGGCGGTGGAGGTAACATTAAAAAAAAAAGGTAGGGTGGGAGGGGGAAGGGCGACTCTGAGAATATGAGCATCTATGGACACGATGAAGATCTGTGAAGACAACCCAAGTCATAACTAATAATACGTTTACAATTGGTGTGATGTAAGTTAGTTAAAGATCTTTTGCTTCATTCCCTTATTTCATTGTTTTTGTTTTTTCTTTTCAAGGCTGCCGTTTAAAAGTCTGACAGCCTTTAGATTCAAAATTATCATCCTGGATGGCAAGCCGGTATAGGAAACCCCAATATACCCCGTTAAAACTCTTTTTATTTTGAGGTGTAAAAAGGTAAAGTCGGGAGATGTGAACCAGTGTCATTGCACACAGTTATAAACCATAAGTGCTCTGCCACCAGTGCGAACAGCTGAAAAGAAACTGTCCGCCTGTGTCGCCGTCCGCACACAACTCTCTAGCTACAGCGACGTTCCTCCATTTACCACAGTGTGCTAACTCTGGTACCTGTTACCTAGAGGCTGGTGAACCCCGGGAACCGCCTTCTTTCGAACACAGGGAGTCGTAGCTAGATTTGAAAGCGAGTCTCCTATCGACTGTGCTAACGCGGCCCCTTTTGTTGTTGTTTTTGAGATGTACAATGTTAGAAGAAACAATCTGATAATCATTCAACCATGTCACAGGAAGATTCAAACCAAATTATTATTATTCGCAGCTGTCAGTCAGTCAGTCATGAGGACATGATAATTTTGCAATACTAGGACAAGTAAATCACAACCTTATGGCGATGGTCAGCGTGTGTGATTAACAAGAAACACGGGCGTTAAAAGCGCCCTTCCACCGTCGAAGCATGGGATTTTAGGATCATTATTACCTTTGCAAGAATGTAACTTGCTTCGACTCATTCGCTCAGCTCTGATCCTATCTGTAATACTATTGTCTTCTTTATCTCTATTCACTTTCTAAACTCCCAGCTCGACGCAACATTCATGTCGCCTCTTGATGGCACGAGCCCAACACAATGCACGTCTTTGCACTCATTACTATATTATAGTAAAGGAAAACACGACATTTTACTTCCATATAAATGTTACTCTTTATCAACATTATTAGTCTGTTTTTACGTGTACTGAGCATACGCTAGTTGTTTGATTAGTGTGTGCAGACTATGTGGGAAATTCTCGTCTTCATGTACCTTCCAGGCAAGACAAAATCTCAGCATGTATATAGCACATGTCCACTCTGTGTGTAACAGGCTGGTGGGATATGTCTAGCCTGTTGATAATTTTGGTTTGGCTTCACTTGCGTAGTAAAACTGGCAAGTTTGGAGACTGGGACTCTCCGAAAGTTGCAAGTGAGTCGAAAACTTGAAATAAGGTCTAGCGCAGTAAAGCCTTTCAGAAGCGAATGCAGAAAAAACAGAAAAGGATCTCTTTGCTCTTTGGTCTTGCCAGTGGCTTAAGTGCCAGGCATTCCTCTTATCGCTGAGGAACTGTAGTGCTCTCAACGCGACGCAGTACTGCGGACTGTCGAGAGAAATGAAATGGCTCATTGGTTTCGTGTTTGGCTGTACGTTTGGTAGGTAGATTGAGTTAAATGTAGATCTGATTAGCGCATGGTCTGTTTCAACACTCTGGTTATTGCTAACATATTATTATCTGTTTCAACACGCTAGTTTTGTGTCCAGGAAAAAAAATAGATGTTGAATGTAATTATTATATTCAATTTGTTTGGTTCAGATTATGACTTTTAGTTATTGCACGAAGTCTGTCTATGCGCTGCCTATGTAATTATATGTTTTGTTCGGTAATTTACTATTAACATATTCATCACCTGTGCCATGAATAATATGTCGTGGTTCCTGCACAAGAAGGACCCCTGTTTTTTTTTTCTTTTTATGTTTTTGCAGTCCAACGTGTAACCACTTACTGTCCTAACCATAATTCATTTTCTCCTCTTCCTCCTTGTTTTAGGTTTCCTCTTCCCGCTGGTTTAAAAGTATGCAAATGACTCCCTTTTTTCAACGCCATCAGCGCATTCAACACATGATGCCAGACTCATATTTATAGAAAAGTCAATTGTTGTTGTTGTCAACATGTGGTCAACCTATGGTCAACATCACGTTGGTCTTTTACCCTTCCAGAAAAAAAACCGGTAGCCGTTTTAGCATGCTGAATGGCATGAGACCAAAATTGATTGCTGAAAGAAATTTCAGTACGCATATGGAATGATCTCATAATCTGCTCTGCAAATAAAGAAACCTCTTTAACTAGGCAGTGGGCTCCGCTTTTGAAACTAATGTCATGCATCCTTTTGCACAAATGAATGGCGTAGTTAAATAGAAACTGCTCACAAATGAGGTTTTCCCAGTCAGGTCAATACGCGAAGGTTTGACCCCCCCCCCCCCCCCCCTTACACCCGCCACTGACATCATATTACAGGCTCTGGCTCGGAGACCAATCATCTGGTAACCTGCGACGCCTGGAGGCACAGATCAGAAAAAATGAAGAAAAGAAAGAAAGAAGAGTGAATCTTAATGAACTTCGTGTATATAAATCTAGGTATAAAGACATTCTCAGAAAATATACACAATATACTTCACATTTCTCCCCACAGATGGGGAGAATGTTCTTCCTTACCTGAGAATGTTCCAGATGTAGTTGGGTAGAAAACACAGGAAGAACACAATGACGACGACCACCAGCATCTTGGCAGTGCGACGGCGGGCCATCAGCTGGGATACAATGGCTTGTTGGTCACCGCCTTCTGTTTAAAAAAAAATGGTCACGTTTATGTCTTTACATCAACCAGAACAGAATGGAAGCTGTTAGCCGAAAAGAACTTGGAGACAAACTCAGAAAGAGATCGGAGCACTTATGGTCATGTCCGATGTGCGATGGAGATGAATTTTAAAATGAACAATGAGCAATGGTCAGGTTAGTTCCCACTTAACATGTGCCAAGACTGAGAGAAATCCCTTGTCTGGGTTCCAGTGTCCCATTGTAGGGGACAAAAAGGAGTAGATGCATTACCTCCTCAACAAGTATGCACTAAGAGTCAATTGATTAGGAGTTTTTTTTTTTTTTTTTGGTCGACGTCAAAGAGCATCTGTCTAAGAGGAAAGGAACCAACGTTTGCGTAAAATTAAAGTCAGACATGTAAAACGGATGGGCAAGCACAGCTCAAGTTTTCTTCTTTGTCTTCTCTCTTACCGCTTCGAGCGTCGGGGGGAGATAAAAGGTCCTGCTTCGTGCTCTTCTGGCTGTTTCGACCATAGACACATCGTAGTGCTGTAGAGTTTCTCTGATGTTGTCTTCCCATCTTGTTTTTGGTCTACCTCATGATCTATGTCCTTCTCCTCTTTTCGTATATGCTGTGTATGGCATAGCAACAGAAGGCATTCTCTCTAAATGAGCAAAACCATTTTGATTTGCTGTCTTTGTACGTAATTTAGAATGTGTTCTTTGTCGACTAACTTGTATGACCTCATTCCTGATTTTATCTCTGCAGGTTACTCCTACAGTCTTTCTCAGACACCTCATTTCTGTAGTTACTTTGTCTTATATTTTTGTTGTGATTGACCACGTTTGGCACTTATAGCACAATATGGGAAAGAATATGCTTTGTATGAGATGTTTCTTTGTGCTGATTGGGAATGCCTTATGTTATAGGAGAGGCGCTAGCTGCAAGATGCGTATACTTTACAAGACCTGGCTTTACTAGGCAGTTTTAAGCTCAATAGTTTTCCATTGCGGTCGGCTCTCAATACTTTAGTTGAAATCAAGCCACGGTTGTCTGCTGCCATATCGTCCGCAGCTGAAATCGAACAGACTACTAACGGAGTTATGAAGCTCGTTCGCAACGCCTAAGCTACAGACGCCACAACACTTAGAGCATCAGCATGTACAATTATATATATGTATGTGTTTGTGTATGCATATATATATATATATATATATATATATATATATATATATATATATATATATATATATATATATATATATATATATATATATATACACACACTCTTTAAGCACTCACAAGTAACAAGCTTTCCCCTCTTTCTGGCTGTTTCCCAAACTATGCAATGATAACGGAAGGAGGGGAAAACTTGTTTTTGAAGTCGTCTACACATCTCTTCTCTCTTCACCTCCCCCCCCCCCCCTTTTTCCACGAGACCGCCCCCTCCCCTCCCGCCAACACCGTTTTCCTTTTTTTTTTTCAGTCGACTGCAACCTGCGCAGGTACAGTGCCTCAAAGTGGCTTACATTGGATACACATCTAACAGAAAAAAACAACCCCACCTCAGATGTCCAGTGTAACAGCAAATGAGGTAAAATATTAGACTAAGATGCCCATGTTCACATCAGCGACCAGGTCGCCCATTGGCTGGCCGATAGACGACGTCGTCGCTGGTTGGGACAATATATTGGTCTGTCTCGCGTCAACACTGCAGGAGTCCTTTTCAGGGCTCTTGGTGGCCCGCAATGCTATATGACGCACATAACCTAGTCACGATTATAACCGAAAGCACCCCATTTGGGCAAAAATGCTTCAACGTGACGATTTTTCCCCCCTCTAGCAAAGCACCTTTCTATCTAGATAGCTGCCTATGTAAAATACTTTCCCTATGGCATATTTCAAGTCTATTTCGCAAGCTCCGAGTTACTTTATGTGAAAATTAGCTTTCATCTAGTCCATTAGTGAAATTATAATCAAAGCCACACCTGTAATTTGACTTTTGTGTACATTTATCGAGCAGATAATTATACGTAATCCATATCCTTTCAAGACTAGCAACATTTCGTATACTTGTCTAATTAAAAACACCATTACTAAACATTAGTAACATAATAAAACAAAGAGATAAGTTCAGTGATTTGACTAAAGGTAAAACGTTACTTGTGAATCAATCGTTACATCTTTACATATTCTAGATCAAACAAGCTGTGGTGAATGATTTATGTCCTCGCTGTCTTTCTTTGGTAGATAATTTCTGCATAATTCTCAAAAGTGCCTGGTAGCGGATTTATAAGAGCATGGAACCCTTCTGTGATGACCCTGCTTTGCATGGTCTCCACGAGTACATTGTGGCAAGCAGAAAGTCCGTGCTACAAGTGACGGCACGAGATACTTGTGGCCGGTGGAGTAAGCAAGGGGAGGCCCGAGCTAGACTCGTGGTCAGTCGATCATCAGAAGTCAGAGAAGACGGTTGTAGTAATTGAAGATGTCGTCTTTATGTCGCGAGAATGGTTAATGTTCGAATATGTCGCGAGTGATAAAGTGTGAATAATGTTTGAACATGTGAAATAAATGGACCAGAATAAACTGACAGAATGTACAATGAAGCTGAGTGGCGTTAGTGTTGTCAACCCTAGACGTTAAAGCAGTGCGAGTTTTGTAGCAGTAAACATACAGAGAGTGAGCCGTGGCTAAAGCCAATATGTAGTGAGTCAAGGTGCATGACGAGTAAAGCCGGTGCAAACCAAGGTTCATTTCAAGTCAAGTCAAGAATCATTTCAAGTAGACCACGATTCATTCCAAGTTGAATAAGAATCATTCCACTTCTGACAGAAAACATATTCCTGCGTCCGACAGGGAATGAGCCAGACTACTGGTTTGAAAGGTAGGCATACTATCCACCAGTGCTGCTGTAGTGGTTCCCAACCTTCCTAATGCGGCGACGCATTTAAATAGTTCCTCATGTTGTAGTGACACCAAACTATAACATTATTTTTTCTTGCTACTTCATAACTTTGGTTCTTCACCGCTTAGTGGTGAACTGATGTATGACAAGCTAGATGTTGGGAGACCTCTTTGGGGGCGATTGAACAGTACGGAGCTCATACAGATCATTACGGTCTGGGAAGAATGGCGCTGCGAGGGATTACAAGGGGATCTTGCCGGCGCTCAACACTCAGGGGAAAGGCAAGACGAATATATATATATATATATAATCAGACAATTACTGGTGCTATCAGAACTGAAACTTCGCTGGCAGCTGAAAATGGGAACGGAGAGCTTATTGGAGGTGTTCTGAGTGTTGTGATGTTGATTCTCAATTCAACATTCAATATGAATATTCCTTCGAAGTCGGAGTACAGCTGCCCGTGAGGCATGGAACAACAAAACGGTTGTACACGCAAAACTCAGGTCCAGGTAAAAGCCAAAAGTCCAAGCGGACGATTAACCGGGACCTTCCGCCGGAATTCACAGCCGGTGAACGAAGAAGAAGAAGAATATGAATATGTTTTTTCCAATGATCTTAGGCGATCCCTCTGAAATGGTCGTTCGACCCCCTAAGGGGTCGCGACCCACAGGTTGAGACCCGCTGCACTAGTGGTTCACAAAGTTCATCATCTCATGTCCTGTTGGACTATTTCATCATCTCATGTCATGTTGACTATCTTATGCATATCTCAGTAACAGAATACTGCTGGCCCAGTAAGTGAACATCGTACAGTAGGCTATGTGAATCTAAAGATGCACTTCAAAAACACGGTGACTTTTATCAAAAGAACTCGACTGTCCGTTATAAGTCAACTAAGCGATCAGAAGTAGACAATCAATGAAGACATTTACCGTCTCACAAGTAAGAGAACAAATCTGCGCACTAACGAATTAGCCAAGATCTTTGTAGCGATTCTAGTGGCGGACTGTTTGATGTGGCACCTCTGATTACTTCCTCAAGCATGTTACGAATTGGTACACTACATACCTTGCCGAAACTAATATATTTCACATTGTTCACATTAAACAGCAACAGGCATTCTGTGAGTCTTCTGCTGGCATAGAAACGGAACAATTATGGGTGGGTTGAACCGTTGGCCGGAACACTGGAACTGCAATTAAGTGACTAATTGACTTGTAGAAATGCCAGAATACGTGCAGACCATACATTTTAATGGAAGTAGTACTATTGAAAATGGAACAAAGGAAACAACGCACCCATCCATTTTTATTACCAGAAATCAAAGGAAAAGAAAACACACGAAATTGTGGAGAGACAAACCAACAGTAAACACCCAGAAAACGCCACAAGCAAACACAACAGAAAGCAGCAAACAACAAACTTCCGTCTGTGAACAGGAAACTGCAGGCTCAGCTACCACATGCATAAAATAAAGATGGTACAGTCCCCACAGTGTGCCTGTCAAACAGGACCACAAATACATGAGCACATTCTGCAGACCTGCCAACTTTACCTACAACTTCGAAAAGAGCAAAGTGTGCAGAGCAAACCATATGGAACCATGAAGGACCTGCTGCGGACATGCGAGTTCATAGAGGAAACCCACCTGATGGTCTGATCTGAGCAAACGAAACCGAATGCAAAGAAGAAGTTTTGCAGAATCGACAACGGGATCCAGTATAAAAGTTAGTTGCCTATCTTTTACCAGACGTTGCAGAGCCAAACCCAGCTCTCTCTCTCTCTCTCTCTCTCTCTCTCTCTCTCTCTCTCTCTCTCTCTCTCTTTCTCTCTCTTTCTCTGTGTGTGTGTGTACGTGCGTGCGTGCGTGTGCGTGGGCAGGTGGGTGGGTGGGCGTGCGTGCGTGCTAGCGTGCGTGTGTGTGTGTGTGTGTTTGTCTGTCTGTGTGTGTGTGTTGCTATTGCTGGATACAGAATATAAGTGACTCCTTGAGAATGAAAGTACATGAGGCGGGTGAGCTGGCGTGAGACCGAGTTTCTTTCAGGCAGACATGATGAGAGCGACGTTCTGCAAAAGACGTGCTATATGATGAGTTTTCCGATTGCTTTCT